AACCCACTACGATTCTGAATGGAAGTAGAATGCGTGCCGCATCCCACAAAGGGATTGATCAACGGCGAAGACTTTATCCTTTATCCTTTTAATGACATGAATATGGCCGAATAACGCTGTTAAAGACACCTAACCGTACCAGCTAGTGAGCTAAACACCCTCCCACCTGGAAGCAAGTATCAAACCTGAAAAAGCCGCGCCGAAAAAGAAGCTAAGATATCACTCAACACAAGTCAAACTCTGCGGATTTGACTGATCGTCCGATAGCAACAAAATCCGCAGACATTCAAAGTCGTCGAATAGTAGGCGTTGTCTGCAGTCCCAAACTGAACGACTCATTTCACGTCGAAACCTTCGGAGGTGCTTTCCCACTTTGTCCGAGCTTTTTCTTACATCATAACTGAGCGGGTAAACTGCCCAGTTTAGTCTTCCAGACTGAAATCACAGGCTACTTCAGTACACCAGGCCATTTTTTTGGATTTTTGTCGATATGTTGGACCCTTTCGTAAAGTCCTGTAAATATACCGAGCCATTTTGTAAAGCTTGTAAAGCTGTGAAGAGTTGCGAAGGCTTCTTTTGTGCAAGAGAATTTTTTCACTCTTTTCGGAAGCTCCTTCATCCCAAGGAATGGGCGAAAATCCTCACCCCTTGTCCACAACTTCCTGGCACGAAATGTTGTAAGTTACGAAAAAATTCGAAAGGCATTGGCGTGGAAATGAACTCGTGAGGTTTTTTGTAGTTAAGTTGTTCACAAGAATTCAGAGAATTCCGTAAGATGTTCCGTACATTTAACAAAGTTTACAAGGGGTCCATTATGTTGACAGAAATTTCAAAAAATGGCTCGGTATACCCAAAAATACATTTAATATCTTAAGTAGTCCCTAAATAAGCTGAGGAACCTGTATTGGTCGCTTTTGCGTCCAGTTTGTCGAATGGCTTTTTTTGTCTCCCGGTAGTTAGCCAAGGACTTTCTCGGTATTCACATTTCATCAACGTCTTTTTGTGCTGTTCGGCTCGGAAGGGGCATTTGGCCTTTCTGCTGGTTCCTTTTGCTGTTCCATGTCAACTAACACACCGCAACAGGTTCAGACCTGTACTCATGTGAATCTGCGAAATGGCACAAGTGAGCCACTTTGGTTACACCATTTACAGGTCTTCACAAGGCCTTCACTGAGTACGATCTGGTGCCCCCACCGAGCCGAAGTGCGCCGTCTTTTTTTCTGCATTGTCAATTTCATGCTCTCAGGATATTGAGTGAGGATGGATTTTCTTCTAAATTTCTAGGTATAATCTTGGATGCAATCAACAACTCACGGCGCTAGTGGTGTGGAAGTAAAGTCAAATTCGCCGTCAACTGAGAACAACACTCCTCGAACGACATTTGTTTTGCAGAAGGGCGCACAGAAGCGTTCGCTTTCCGTTTTCCCGCCAATCCAAACCGTGCCGGTAAGTTTTCCTCTCCATTGATTTCGGGCAATGAGGAGTGAGGTAGGAGAGCGATGCTCTTCAAAAAAAAAGAAATGAAAGTGATTGTATGATATCGAACAGTGTGTTGCGAAGACAAAGTTGGGCGCCAAAGTGGGTGGATATAAACTCTAGTTCGCTGCGGACGGTTGGGCGTGTCAGCCATTTGGGTGTGTCACCCTTTCGAAGCCGTTCTCAGCCTTCTTGTTGACACGCGCATGCAAGAAGTGGTAGAAAACGAGTACGCTTCAACAACTGTTGGAGAGCGAGTTTGGCTCCGCGCCAAACGCAGCCGCACTGACACGCCCAACCGTCCGCTGCGAATTATTGTGTCGTTTGGCGAAATAATTTCCCCCCGACTTGTCAAAACATGTTGGGCAAACCGTGTTCCAAGCGGGAGAACTCTTCCGAAACTCTGAAGAGTTGCATTTCCTTAACCGTAGGTGGTTATTAGAAGAAGACCTGCATGGGAGACGTAAGAGAGTGCTGATGTGGGTGAAGGAGGGGCAGAGACCGCTTGGCGCGTGTATGTACCTTCCCAAAAAAAGACTCAGGCTTAGAGCGCAGAGTACCAGAGTCGTAAAAGAGGTAGAGGTTCTGTGGAGAAGGCATGGTTTTCACTAACCCTGAGCCTTGATCAGAAGTGATACAAAGGCGTTAATGTGGTCTCTATACCCCCCTCCCATTTGCCAAAGCAATCTCCCATGAGCAAATCAAAAACCTCAGAGCCCATGAGCACGAAGCCGACATTAACGGCTTCATATAGGCTCTTAATTTGAGGAATTTCGTAGTTTAGTGATCTAGAGGAGTTATCCAACTGTCATGACATGTCAGCAGCAACTTCGTCACGCCAAGCGACCCCCTTCCCCCAGTAGTCGGTAGGTTCGCGCTGCTTTCCAACGGCTATGAACCCTCACCCCCTCACCAGAATATTCTGCCCAGTGTGGAATGAGTGAATGTAGCTATTCTTCTTGCCTACACCCTCGCGTCGGTAGTGTCTGTCCAGTGCTCAGTTCACCATACAGACCCAGCTTTGGAGGGTGCAGACAGGCAGATGGTGCGGTCGTTGAGTGGAGGTGGAAGACGCCAATACTTGCCTTTCGACATGGTCCTGTCATGCAACTCTGCAAGAAACGAAGGGCGACCGTTGCTGGAGCACCAAAAAAAGCGAAGAAATGTGTGGGGATTTTGGGGATAGACCGCACCTCTCTCCCTGGGAGGGCGGAGACTAGCAAAAAATGGGCGTGGTTTGGCCCGTCCGTCCCGCATAGTAGCTCTTCTTTATTGATTTGAATAAGGTAGAATCAGTCGTGGTCATCTGAATATTCCAAGCCTTAGGGGATTAATGATATCTGTCAGTTTTCCCAAGTTAACTGCACGAGATTTCAGCTGGCTTCACGCAAATTGATATATTCATCCACACCTTCCTTTTGCACGTGACCGCTATTATCAGTGTTGGAAAAAAAGCGATAGTCGACCAACATGATACAAGTTGTCGTCGGTCGCACGTCGTCGATGCTTTCATCTGCCAGCTGTGAATGAAAGGGCCGTGAACATTTGTGACCGACGACAACCTGTATTTTCGAAGTACTGCAGGGGCTGATTTGAAATATTATAGCATTTCAGTCCACATTTTTCAATTCAAAGGCACGACCATGTCATACAATGGTTATTTCTGCGGCTTAAATACTAACGAGAAGATGAAAAAAAAAACAGAATTAGAGATTGAGGGGAGAAAAACGTGCCAGAAGTGTCTCACATAGAATAACATGCGGAAGCGCGCTCGTGCGTTGATAAGGAGGAAAAAGGGCGTGGTCGGACGAGTTCTCGGACTTAGGTGCCAACTATGTCTCCTTATCACCTTACACTCACCATTCGAAATAGAGCGTGACACTGTTCAACTATTACTACCTGTAAAATGCAAAAAGAAAAATTGCCTTCACGGGTTGTTCCATGCGTTGGTCACGAGTATGGCAGTATCGTTTTCGACGCTGGCGCCATTTGGTGCCACACATTTTCTTAACAATATCGGTATTGGAGCTATTCGGTGCCCAGATAACGAACGTCACATTCATTTTTGGCGCCAATTTGGCAGTAGACCATTTTTCCCCAAAATCCATAAAAAACTTGCATAGTAGAGTGTTGATGCCCTCATCAGGAATATGATATTCACTTTTCGATACCGGCGCCACTTAGCACTATGCGACGGCTTAGCTTGGGAGAGAAGTGATTTCCTCTTGGTCAGGCTCAGCTTTAGCGGAGCGCAGGTGGTAGTGTCTTCCATTAGCGCCGGCGCCAGAATTGCATGTTATTCATGATCAATAGTTTACATAACCCCCGTATACAATTCATCAATTTGGGTGGCCGAGGCTCTCTGGAGCCGGCGCCTGTATGGCGGGCAGCAGGCATTCAGGCCAAGCGGATGTCATATTCGTATTCGGGAGGTTGAACTCCCCTAGGAACAAGTTTTCAGCGGATTTGGTGGTTAAGGGTACTTTGGCGCCGGCTCATGTAGCACGGGCGTCCAAGCGTGTGCGATATTCGTGTTCAGGAGGTCAAACTACGTCTGGAAACAAATTTTCAGCCAATTCTGCCCTCGTAGAAAAAGTTGATGAAAAACTAGCCTGACTTCAGAAGATTGGGGTATTAATAGTTGAATAGTGCCTGGATAATATCGTATCGTATCGAAAAGCGTTATAATAGCACCATTAGG